AGAAGCCCGACGGAGGGCCATCTTCGAATGGTCGCATAGTCGTCCATGCGCCATAGAAAGTTGTCTCTAACTTCTTCATTGGAATTTCGGCCGCCATGGCTATGGTGAAAGTCCCATAGACAACAATAAATTGTATCAAATGACCTCCGACTGGCTGGTAAATGTTAAAAAATGTCTGTATCTCGAGCTACCACCAGTTAAACGTCCTTGAACCTACATAACTCTCACACTGGAGGGGGTCTCCGGTGAAGAGCCTCCGATGCTTAAGTGAAAATGATGAAGTAGAGTGGTCTATGTACCATGGCTTAAGGCATACCTCACTCCCTTTTATAGGGAGATGATACCTTGTTTCTCAATACGGATGTATGCGCAGCCCCGTTCAGAGGCGTGCGAGGTAATTCGACTGGTCGTTCGTACTATTCTAGTTGTCGAGACTGCATATGCCCAATTCTGTTAGGCCACGTGGTCATCTCCACGTGGGGGTTTGATTCCTTGAATATTCTTTCTTATCCTTTAGTCTTCTTCATTAGACGGTCTAACCGTCTGCTTGACCTCCATTACCTCAAAGTGGGGTGTCACCAACATGAGCCCTGCTATTCTGCTCATCTGGTTGATCCTTCGACCAGATGCTCTTTCGAGTTAAGCTTCCCACAAGTCCTCCTAGGGCCTCTAATCGACCTGTTGGTGTCCCTTGCTTCACATGTGCCTTTTTCGACCTGAGGGTCTATGGACCCAAGAAGTCTCCATTCTCCACTCGACTTGATGACCAGTCTTGTTCGGTTCGGCTTCTCTCTGGTCTAGTCGACATGGTGCAGTTATCCCATATCAGATTGAGTTATCCTAACTCGACCAGAGGGGGGAGACCAGATAAGATGACATACCATATCAGGTCGACTTAACCCAATAAGCGGACCAGTCGAACCGAACATATCGTCAGGTCAATGGGTGCCCGAAGGCCAGAGAGGTCAGAGAGTCATGAGGTTGATGGTGACTTCACAGACAATGAGGGTCACCAATAGGTCGAGCTAGGACCCTTGAACGGCTTGGTAGAAACTCGACGTGAAGGTATGACGGTCGATGGATCGACCTGAGGAACAACATACGTACTTAGCACAAAAGGCAGTCTACCTCAAGATGAATTGGGTCGACCGAACGATTAGACCTTCTAATAAGAAATGATAAAACACCCCTATTTAAAGTGTCAAGGTATGTCTATTTACACTTTACATACTCTATATAATTATAGTTTACATAGACTATTCATCGTCTTTTTCGTTTGTGAACAGACTTGATCGTCGGCGTAGCGTACCCTTCTTGACCCATTTTGCAAGTTTTCAAATAGGTCAAGAAGCAGATCGAGGTCGTGCGAACTAAGAGGTCTATTTGATCGCTAATGTCCAAGCACACCAATACTTTATTATTTCTTTAATGAGAACGTCTTTTTAATTTTAATATTTTTTATTTACTAATCTATATCTATATCTATATAAAAAGGTTGTTGGAAAAATACTTAAATAGAAAGTTTGACTTTTTAATTAATTTGTTTGACTTACTAATTTAAGAAAATTTGTTAAAAAACACGTGCAATTTGAGTTAAAAAAATGAGATTTTAAAAGCAATATTGGAATCAATTTATTAACAAAAAAATCGGGAGGATGATGTTGAATTATGGAGGAGGATAAGGTTAAATGTGAGATATATATAACAAGGATAACTAATCTAATTTATATAGTTACTTAGGGAGCATACTTGTAGGAGATCAAAATATATCAATGTAAATGTAATATCAAGCTAGCCATATAAAACAACTTTCGTTTTAAGTAATTTCAACATTCTTGGTAAGTTCTAAATTATTATATATAATAAATCCTTTGTTATTTTTATATATATTAATAAATATTATATATATATTAACTATATTTATATCTATCTATATCTATATAATTGTTATAAATGTTGGAAAAATATGACGGGGTTCGGTCAACGCTCTCCGTTCAAAGTAAGATGGGTTTGTTGCAAATAAATGCGGGACCGATCATGAGAGAAATGGTTTGTAAAATGAAGAAAGTGTTGAGTGTTTTATTGTTGAATTTCAAGAGAAGACGTAAGGAACACCGATTAAAGATGGGCCAGATTGTGCGCATCAAGACTGATTCGTGGATTGAAGACTTAGTTTCGTCCATGTCATGAAGCCCAATTGGAATGTCTTATTTTGTACCAAAATGTCTCTTAAGTTGTCTTAGAAGTCAAAAGGTCATTCAAACATTATGTAACCTTATTTATGTGGTCAAAGTGTGTCTTTAGTGCTTAATGAGTCCAAAAAGGGGATTAACTCATCAGCACCATTTGTAGCATTTAAAAGGGCATTTTGTTTTTTAAGGAAAAAAAATGAATATTGCGGAATTCATAAAAATCAATTTTGTAAGATTGAATTCTCTTTTGTAGAGTTTCAATTGTTTTAAGAACTTATCAAGATACTTGAGCAAGACCTTGTGGCGTTCACCATATCGAGGTTCTTAGCTGATTATATAGCTAACAGGTCGAGGTTTTCAAGCTCTAGGTACGATCAAACTAGATCTCCGATATGGGATTCCGCTGCCTATTTGTACGTTTGGTTCTTGGATCAATATATCCGAACGGGTCTCACGTGCTATCCGCATCAAAATATCTAAGTAAGTTTGGCTGAATAAATAAATGGATATACTTAATAATCTAGGATTTGTTTTAAAGCCCCATGATTAATAAATTCTAAGATATTTTGAAACAGATTTGTTTGCATTTATTTAGAATATAAAAATGTTAACCTCTCTAAATTTTAGATGTTTGTTCTTGAATAAAAAAATACGTATAAATTATTCAAAAATGAGTTATACATTCGAATTTAGAAAATTTTGGCACATATTAAACAAAGAATAAATAAAATTAATCTTTAAGATTCACATAATCCTAACCTTCCTATAACTAATTTTGAAATATCTTGAATTTAAGAGATAAATATATAATATAATTGAAATTTACTTACAAATCTCTAAAATAAGAATCAAAACAACATTGTTATATTTCTTATTATCTATAATAAAAATAATGAATATATCCCATAATGTTGTTGAGAATCTCAAATCCCAAAAACCGAAAAATAAGTTGAACATAGATAAAATTTTAGGAATGTTCACTAAAATCTAATATTTTTTTTATAATGCTGATTTAAAATAACAAGTATATAAAAAATAAAGTCTGGATTCTAAAATCTGAACCATCAGAACCAGTTAAACATGCCAATCCAATATATATATATTTCAAATCAGATTAAACAAAAAATAAGAAGAAAAAATGTAAGGATTCTCATAATCCCAAACTTCCTTTTTATTATGTACAGTTAAAAAAAATAGTATATCCCAAATTAACATTGGAATTCTCAAATCTCAACAATCGAAAACATAGAATTATGAAACAACGAGTATATCCCAATATATTATTGGATTCAAAATCTCATCAATTTTACTTTATAATTATTAAACATCCGAAATGGTTAGTTTTAACATATCGGATTTTAAAAAATAAGGACATAAAATTTTTTAGGAACCTCATTCCTAACATTCATTTTTACTATTAAAAAAAAGTCATATATTTAAGAGATAAGGATGTGATATAGTCATATTATTCTAGGGCGGCTCAGATACTCTTTACTCGACCGGATGTCATAAGTACAAGTCGACACTAATAAGTCGACCTCATGAAAATCGACCCCTCTTGTTATTAAAAGGAAGCCTCTAGTGAATCAATGGTCCACGGGCGATTCCCTCAAGTCGACTGTATAAGTCAACTTCCACCAAGACGATGAACGGGCATAATAGCTTACGATCATACTTGTAGCACTTCGAGTCGACCCGACAGCAGAAGAAGTCGACTCGAATCGGCTAGTGTCTAAGATCCTCTGACGACTCATGACACTCGAATATACCTCAGTATAACCTTGATGAATCTCTGAAGTAAGGAAGGATCAAAGGGCAATCCAAGGTGTGAAAGGAAGGCAAACCGACCGGGATATTTTGGTCCCTTCACGTAAGTCGGCCAGCGTATTCTCGGTACTTCAGGTAGATACTCGTTCTTATATAAAGGGGAAGAGGTAACCCAAACTCTAACTTCACTCTGATTACTGACTCTACCCATTTGCTGCTGTTCTCTGAGAGCAGCTTCTCCCCTTTCTTCCATATACTGATTTGAGCGTCGGAGACTCTTCACCGGAAACACTTCCGGTGTTGAGTTTTTGCAGGTGTTCGCAGCGGTTCGAAGTCGATTTCAAGGACGGTTCGAACAGATCGGAGCTCACTACCACTGGTTCACTCCAGATCTAGGAGGAGACCCATCAAGATATATATTATTAGATTAATTTTTATAACTACCAAAATATGAAAAAAAAAAAAAAAAAATCAAGTCTTGATATATTCTTGGGATATGATCTGATTATCACAAAAATCGGTGAAAAAATAAAATCAAGTAATAGTTGACAATGTAATTTTGCTATCGCAAAGTTCAAACTCATTATTCATGGGAAGAACGAAAGTGTTGAAATATCCTACCGATTTCAACATTTTATTTTGACTTACGTAATTTTGCTACCCTACAAGATGTTGACAATGTAATTTTTCAAAAGCAAATAGGTGTATTTTAATTTTATTTTTAAATATGTAGACATACATATAGTTGTATTTTATATTTTAATTCTCTATTGTTAACAAATATTTCATCATATCATATAATATTATAATATAATTATAATATCACTGAATATTGTTTCTCCGTGCAGTGCACGGGTTTTACGCCAGTAAATAGAAAAAACAACGAAGTATTACTGGAAGGACCCCTGAAAAATGAAATTGACCCGAGGCTTATCGGTATAGGCCTATGAACTGGGATCTTTTTCCACCCTCAATCTCCCGTTGTTGATTCCAATCCTGCAATCGTCTCCGCATTATCAAGGGAAATATAAAGAAGTTAAAATGGCAGCTGCTTTTGGTGCTGGATTGGTGCTGCTTCTCCTAGTGGGGAGGCTAACTTGCGCCGACTCCGTTAGGGTTTCGAAGCCTCCGGCTATCTGTCCGTTAAATTCTGTCCAAGAAGCCTTCTTTCCTTCGCAGAACCACGTTTGTTCCGTCTTCGGGGCAAAGTCTGACAACACCGCCGGTGTTATTGAGGTATACGATGAAGCTCCTTTTAATTTGCGTTTGATTTGTTTATTTTTTTTTAAGGTTGTTTTCTCTTTCTTCGTTTTTTTTTTTTTCTTTCTTCAAAATTTCTGTGGTGGATGAAATGATATTGCTTTGAATCGCTCGTTCTTCTATTTATATTGTTTGTCTGGGTTGGGGGACTGGTTGGAGGCGTTGGTTTAGGTTTAATTTGAAGTTTAAAAGGTGTTTGCTTACAAAATTATTTGATTTGTGGAAAAGGGTTTACTCATATATCATGAAAGGGTGAATCTTGATGCTAAGTTATACGCTTTAAAAAGTGAGAATTTTTTTGACCAACTTATATCAGCTCTTGAGATTTCTATGAACCCTATAAAAACTAGTATGTTAAGCTTAAAAAATGAAAGATAATTAAAGAAAAAGACCGAAAACTAATGCGAAGTTAATCTCTGTAGATATGTAATATTATCAAATGAAGTGATAGAATCAATTTAAATGTTTAGAAGGTGTCAAGTTACGTTTTAGAGTTATTGTGCTGATTTGAAGGTTTATGATTCATGGTGTTCAGGGCTTAACAAGGTGGTTTGGCAAAAAGAATAAAAAAAAGAAAGAAAAAAGAAAAACGGAAAAAGAGAGAACAATCTGAGTATCCTTTCAGAATTTGGTTAGTAGAGTTCTTTATCTGCAGTGTAAACTGTATAGTATAACCTTGATGTGAAAAGTTGAAAAAGAAATCGCTTTTGTTTCCGGATGTTTGGAAGGGAAGATTGTCTTGGCTAATTTGTTTGCTTACCCTTTTGGACACTTTAGCATTGTTGGTGGAAATCCATTTCATAATGAATTTCAGAACCCCCTGTCCTCACATCTGCTAAATTATATACGTTTATATATTATAAATTCTGGTTGTCTCTGGGTATTCTACTCTCCTCCTTACCTCGAGACATGTGTGGATGATTCTTTAATTGTGTTATCCTGTAATTGGTTACCTGTGAATTATTCTACTGGTAAATGCTCTCTTTCTTGGGAATATTTTATTCAGTTTTTTATTGTATTTGTGCAATCCCTTAAGCTTTAGAAATGAACTTCAGAGGTTGAATAATGCTATGTAAATTGAACTGTATTTAGAAGAGAATATAAACAGGTGTGACGTTTAGCGAATGCAGTCCCGATAATTGGTCTTGTCATCAATTGTGAGTATGATGATTTGTGTTATTCTAGAACATTTAATAGAATTGACAATCGTATTCTAGCCTTCTCCACGTATTTTATGTGCTTGAACTGTGGGAATGCCTTTAATCTTGTTGAGCTAAACCGGCATTCAAGCATTTGGAGTGTGGTCTTTCAGACATGATAATCAGAAACTTTTGATTGTGAAGGGGGATGAAGTCTCATTGCAAAAAGCACTGGACATTGTTCACAAAAACAAACACGATTATGTTTCCCTACTCTTCTATTCATCTTGGTGTCCTTTCTCTGGATCTTTTAGACCAAGCTTCTCCTTGCTGTCCTCAATCTTTCCTTCCATTCCTCATTTTGCTATTGAAGAATCTGCTGTGAGGCCAAGGTTTGAACCACCTTCGTTACCTTCTATTATCACGCTTCGTTTACATGAGTACATTGCCAACTGAAATTGACATTGATGTTCTTTTATTTTCTTTTCTTTCTGAAAATGTAATTGATAATTAGCATTCTGTCAAAGTATGGAGTTCATGGGTTTCCTACTTTGGTTCTTCTAAATTCCACCATGCGCATGCGGTATCAAGGTTCTCGCACTCTGGATTCCCTCATTTCCTTTTATAATGCCGTGACTGGTAAGCTCATATGCGATATACATCTTCGGTTTGTGTAACAGATAAACTAATTGTCGGACTGTTTTTAGCTATTTTTCAGGAAGTGCCTCTGGACTTTTGTTCACCATAAAATCAACAATCTGAGTTTTTTTTAGCATGCTGTTATTTTATTCATTGATGACTTTCTGTTGATTCAGGATGTTCTTGTTTGGGTCTTTTATTGCTAGTCACTGCTTTTTTCAGTTTATCAATTGACACTTGTTTTTTTCTTTGCTATTACAATTATTCTCATTTGAAAATCAATTCTATGGACCCCATTAGCATGCTGTCATTTTAGTTATAGCAATGATTTTGTGTTTGCTTCAAAACATTTTAGATTTTTTTGGTCACTTCCTTTTTCAGCTTGACCAATTGATCCTTTTTTTCTTTGTTCTCGTGATTCTTCTGGAAAATCAGTACTACTAACCCCAAGAATATGAAGAAATATTATCTAATGCAATGCTATATTTATGAAGAGCATCCATTGCATACGTTCTTATTGAAGATTCTTGACATAAAAAATCTTTTATTTGGTTTTTTTAAGGCATAAAGATGTCAGCTGATGGAGAATCAATTGGCAAGATCGTATGTTCAGGAAATGACGAAAAACACGGCAATAACCTTGAAACCTGCCCTTTTCCATGGGCTAGGTCACCCGAGAATTTGTTCAAGCAAGAAACTTATTTGACCCTCGCCACGCTTTTCGTGATTTTAAGGTTGCTGCAGTTTTTCTTTCCCACATTGAGAAGATGGGCTCAACTGGCTTGGAGAAGGTATACCACAAATGTGAGTGTGAATAGTTTGTGGGAGCTTAATCAAGTCATGCAATTTTTCAGTTTTCTCGAGAGACCATGCAAACAAAGCAACTTGCGGGAAGGAGCCGAAAATGCCAAAGCTTGGGCATCTAAATCACTTGCCACCGTTTCATTTGGAGATTCTTCTTCAAATTGTGATGCCTGAGTAAGCTTGAAACTAATCGTAATTATGCGAAATTCTATTCTCTCTCTCTCTCTCTCTCTCTCTCTCTCTCTCTCTCTCTCTCTCTCCCCCCTTAATTTTTGCATTCTCATGGTTGGTAGCAGCTGTTTGAAAGTACATGTGAAATATCTTGTGGTGACAGTGTTTGGAGCTGCACTTGCCTGTATTTGGATGGTGTCTTAAGATTGTGACATGTGTAGCAATGTGATTGATTAGTCGTAAATGACGCCTGCCGTTCCTGTACAGGCTTTCCCCATATGGTGTAAGCACTTATTTTTTGTCGAATTATTTAGCTGACAATTAAGGGGCTCTGTCTGGAGCCTAATATCTAATAGGGCACAAAAAATGAGAGGTGATACTGTGGTGAGATTCAATATCAATGTAGTTCAGATTATAGAATTTATATACCATTTGCACAAAAAATAAAAATTAAGAAATGGCATGCCCTTCGGATTTGCAATTAACTTCTATTAGACCCATTTGCTGAATCTTTTAGTTTTCCCTGATATAGCTCTTCCTTTCTCAGTTTTCCTTACCATCTTTTTTTTCAAATTTTACTTGAAATATATCTTACTCATGTAGGGATCATCACATGAACTATGTCCGAGATTTGAAGTATTGTAATTATCGAAGAAAAAACTCAGTATTTGAAAATTATAAAACTACAAGGGGTTTCTGTCATTTGAAACATATTTTGTTTCGTAAATACCTTGAACCTTGGAGATAGTTTTGTGGTTATCTCCTATTGATTGAAACAAATAGGGAAAATTTTACGTTTAGTAAGCTTACATACTTTTTGCTTATGGTGTCTCTAGTATCGACTATCAAACCTTATACTATAGTTTTATGTTGTGAGATATTTCCCCTTAATTGATAGATGATTTAGCTATTGAATTTTTGCGGGAAAAGAAAATGTCAAATCTGAAAATGTATGTATTTTGAATGGTGTACCTCATGATTGTCAATTAGAATTCTAGTTGTGTACCAACAAAAATTCTATGTGGAGTCATCGGATTGCTCGGCTTATGGTGCTATCTATAACTTTATGTATTGATACGTGTCCAATGTGTATTTATTGCAAGGCACGTGTCTATACACCATTTGCAAAACTGAATGTACTAATAGGATGATAAGAGTTTTTCTAGGCGAATCAACTTTGTAAACCCTGTGGGAAATTTATAAACATCTTAGTCTTCCATCAATTATCGTGATGTAAATTTCGGATTCTTTGTGAACTGTACTTTTCAAAAGTGTATTTTTGTGAAAATCTTCTGAACCAAGCGTGATTAATTGCTGTGGGACTTGAGATATCAATTATTAAAACACTTAAATTTAGGGTGCTGAGCATGAAATATCTCAAAAAAAATAATAATATCATATTTAATCATATTTCTTTTGTTCTCCAATTATTATTACCAATTTTTCGGTGTATTGTTTTGTGGGAAAGAAGAATCAGATGCTAGTGGAAATCAAATTATGATGGGTTCTTTTAGGCCCAATAAGGAATAAAAATACTAACTTCATATTTTCTTGAAAATATTACCCCATACACCATTATAATACACCAATATTTTAAATAAAGCCTAATACACCAATATTTTAAATAAAGACTATATTAAACGTGCCAAATGTTGTTATTTTAATTGCAAGCACACGAGACATTATATTATGCTCTTGCAAATTAATTGGAAGCAATTACCAAATGTAAAACAAATTGACTGCAGATCACGCCTAATTACTCCGCATCTCACCCACGTCCAAGCTCCCCACTCCATCAACTCATCTTCATTCTCAATAAAACCTATGTTCAGTTTCTGTGGTCAAAACATAAATTAAGGTGCATGATTTACGACAAAGCCGCTTGAGATTTGCTCCAAGGGCAACGGCTACAGACCTCATGGTGGCGGCGACGGAGGCAGTGTAGTCGTTGACATTTGTTTGTCCCATTTTTGTCACGTTTTCCGTAATTATTTTTCCTTTCTTTTTTCCCTATTTTATGCTTTTTCTTTAGGTTTTGGTCCGTTTTGTTTCTGGTCCTGTGTTTTCGTGTGTTTTCGTCGGCGTCACATAGGAAAAAGCGGAACTCCATTCCAAGCTCGAACAAGTTCAAACGAGTCCTAGGCATAAAACCGTGCAAATCAACCGATAGCTAGCCCCAAGCTCGTGCCATGTCGGTACCACGCCCGGCAGAGACACAGCCTCAACACCCTTCACCGTCGTACTCACGAGCGTGCAGAACGCTGCTCCGACATCCATCACGCGTCAACAGAGGCTACCTGCTCCAGCTCTTCAGAATATTGATTTTTATAGGCCCCTTTCTGAGACTAGCATATACTTTTTTTTGTGTTGAATGGTAAGCTCGTCGTAGCTTTTGATACCTTTTTACTGACACGTTGTGGGCTGTTAGGCCATCTTTTGTTGACAAAGGATGGCTGATTCTGATTCTGACAATTTACGACTACAAATGACAATGTTATATTAAATGAAAGAGTAATGTTAGACCAAATATCGTATGAAAGGTTAGCTCAGAGCTTCAAGTCCAAACTAATTAGCACTCTTAAGCATACATAAAATGGGATCTTGAGCCCTTGGAGTCGATTCTTATTCCAATTTTCTATTTCATAGAAACATGTTAAAATCCTTAGGTCGCTACGGAAACAGCCTCCTTGTATAATTACAAGGGCTTAGTCTGCGTACAACTGACCCCCAGACCCCAACCAGTTGGGAATATACTGGGTATGTTGTTGTTGTTGTTGTAGTAGTATAGAAACATGTTAAAATAAGTCAATGATCACTCTTTTTGATACCTTAATGAAATTATGCATGGATGTTTCTTGTACTCTTTCTTTTTTGTGCTATTTAAACATGTAGCTTATAGCACAAAATAATCTCAATACCTTAACACACACATTTTGCAGGGAAAATTAATGTCCAGTCTGTTAAACATGCAATTTCAGCACCCAACACAGTAGCAACTGGACACAAAGTCACAGAAAATGGAATCTCAACAACAAATCACACACAATGAGGCACGAAGACCACATGAAAAAAATGACAGCAAAAAGGCAATGACCAAATTTCACCAAAACAAGCAGAAAGCAGCAATAAATATAAAATTTAAAGCTCGTGAATCCTAGCGTTGTACCAGATAAATTTCATAATGACTAATTTCCTGACAAGGGACTGCAGCTAAAAATATCCACGGCCAGGGGCTACCACTACAAAAGCATAAAGAGTGTTCAAGCCAATATACCTCAGCGAGCCCTCAGAAGGTACTCGTTTTACCTGTAGTGGTGGCTGGACGCCGACTCTGTTACCACCGTTATGTGACGGATCCCATACACACCGCTTGACGCAATTGTTGAGGAAATGTCTCTTAGCTGCTCATCTGGATGGTTGCAGCAGTCAACCCTTCTCCAAGGTGCTGCTCGTCATAAGTGCCTCCCGAACCACTTTCGAACAGGCCTGGACTAAATAGAAAGCTCCCTTAAAACATACGGTTTGAGCTGAAAAGCAAATCAAAAGAAAAGCATAAGTGATTTTGAACAAAATAGGGAAGATCACAAAGGAATAATAAATAGAGAAACGAATTGAAGAAAATGAATGAATCCCCATTTCATATTCGCTGGAATCATGCCGAGAAATTAAGAAAGTCTCCAGGTCAGATTGTCCTCAAACCCAGCACCCTCGGCACGTCCCTGCTCAGTGAAGACCCGAAATCAACAGCCAGGTACCCGCAACCCGTCATTCGACGGTTGCACTTGCAAAAATGAAGATCGACTCAGCCCCAGCACAATGTTGTTGAGCAACCATATGAAGAATCTAAAACTGGTTTCACACTGCTGTCTGGTTAACAAAGAATAAACACCATTGGGTTAACTAATTTCATATTGACGTTTATCATTCTCATCACCCACAACAATATCTCCACTTTCTTATAGCTTCTTGTTTATATTGTTTTTTAGCAAGGTGATTCCCACCCACCGGCAGGACAATCTTTACATATTTCCTTTTTTTCCTCATCACCAAATGAAAAGGAGAGGCAAGCAAATATATATGCACCAACAATTTGAAATACAACAGGATTTTTTTTTACAATATAAATAAGCACAAAGGTTTGTAGAAGAACCTGATGACCAGGCACAGAAAGCAGCAGGTGAAATATTAGAGTTTATTTCATGCAGAAAACTTCAACACACCTAAATAAAAGTAAGAGAAAGCACACATGAATAAAGCAACAACAGAAATGGATGTTAATATATTTTAAACACGTTAGTCCGAAAAATAGAGAGAAAAAGTTTACACCCAGGAAAGAAATTTAAAATAGTAACAAACGAAAACAAGTATGAAACAAAGGAAAAGTAATGAGCATAGCACAGGGTTGCGGTAAAAAGCAGATTATAGGTCTTCCACAAGTCACACGAGAAATAAATGAGCCCAAACATGATGAAAAACATGCAAAAATCACCCCACAGAAACCATAACATCTAGTGTGCTCCAGTGATAAATTACTCGTTCATACGGTAATATGACTTAATGATCAAAACGTCAACCTGCTACAAACATTTTGTACACTCAACAAATTTCCCAGCCACAGTTAAACCCCAAACTTACAAGTAGACTTGAACCGAAGAGTCGTAACATATTGAGACCCCTATCAGCAATTGCCTGTAGAAATTACCACGAAAATAAATGCAATTTAGAACAACACCGTGCCTGGAAATAACCGAGCACTTTTCTTGATTCATTTTACCAACTATACAAACTAAGAAATTACTAAAGTACTACAGGCATATTAGCCATCACCAAAGTACATGAACATCAACTCGATCCATTTAAGAATTTAATATGAATTTCAACAACAGAACAAGCTGAACATTCAAGCAACCAAAAAGAAAAAAAAAAAGAAAAAAAGAAAGAAAAAGCAAAATCTGCAACAAGATGCCAGTGCACACAGTGGGTGATATAAGATCCATCCATCC